GTAGTAGGTATATAATATTATTATGGTTTTTATTTCTTACTATCATTAATATTATTTTACAAAATACACTTTTATTCTATAAGCCTCTATTCATATTTTGCCTTTTTCTGTCTATCTATACCACGCGTGTGCCGGAAAATGTGTAGGTAATATATAACAATACATTAATTATAGTTAGGTACCTGTATACCCTCCATACTACGTATTCGTGTATAGCTATAAATATTAAAGGCATTGTTCTGGTCACCTTTGATTGAAATTCAAATTTACTAATAGGAAGAAATATTAAAAAATATATAAATATATAAATTGGATATCCAAAATGGAAAATTATAAAATATATTTATGCACATCAGCTAATAGTAGAACTAGGTACTATAGGTAACTTGTAGGGGGTATCAGTTATAATTATACTATTTTAGCTGACCCCTGCTTAAATTATTGGAGGGATAGTTCACACTGAATCGTTAAATTGTCAACTACTGGCCCTATAAATTCTATGTAACTACTCCTTGCGGCTATTATTATATTTTGAATTAAATTAATTTAAACTAAGTTAATTTTTTTTATCCAATCGTTTTTTGATATTTTATAATTTAATATTGTTTATTATAGAACAGTTCATAATTTTTTTAAACAAAAAAATGATTATGTAGTTTGCCATTTCGAGAGGCCACATTTACTGGAAAACAACTGTGGGTCAGGTGACCTACTGTCGCTACTGACCTCCCCCCCTGGGAACGCCCATGATGGACAGTTTAATTTTGAATGCACCACCTACACATATAGTAAATTAAATAGGTAATTAAAACAAAAACGTTATAATATTTAGACGCTTATGTCTTATTATATTGTTTAGTGCCTACTGCCTCGTATTATAATTTACAAGATATTGTTACGTTGCCTGTGAATCCACGTGAAATTGATTCCTTGCTTATAGGTACGTCGAATAATAAAACTATTAAAACAAAATAATGTCATTAAACGGTGTTATACTGTTATAGGTATATTTCTTACTGTCATTGATGATAACCCATTTTCCAAGTAATAGTATTAACTGATTTTACTTATAAAGTTATAAGTTATGATACAATTATGAACATAAAATATGTTTGACAACTGACAAGTCGATGCTGCTATACAATATTATTGGTAGGTACCTACCATAGACATAATATAGATGGACTGCGCGTTCAGCCCTTATCATGTCAGTAATAATAAACTTATGTAGAAGGTAAATAATCATGGAAAAATGTTTATCTAACAGCTTTCCTCCATGATACGGAAATACGGAATCAATAGTCTTATCAGTTATCACTCTTATTTAAACCAAAATATACCTTGGAATAAAAACTGTAAAAATGTTTTATCCATGCTATTTTACCTTCTCATGTCTTGTTATTATGGCTGAATTTATTGATGGCGTGGGGGGAGGAACGCGCAGTCCATCTATATTATGTCTATGGTACCTACCGTGTCAACTGTCGGTGACGAATGACGATAACCGTTTCCTGATAAAAAAATAACAATTTTAGCTAGAAATAATAAATGAAAACAAAAATCAAATATGGGGACGCTTTTCTAGCATAATTAAATGAAGGAGAACAATGAAATCCATGAAAAAAATTAAAGCGGACTCCGTCAGAATACGTACAACCTCAATTCGAACGCTGATTATCATGATGAAATTTAAAACGCGGGTAAAAACACAAATTATTGTGGATAATCATTAATGACCTAATATATAAAAAATGAATAAAGCATTCATAATTAATAAATTAATTGATAAAAATGGTATTGCAATTTGCGATGACAAACGGAAAAATTATATGTGATGTATTTAACATTTTTTTTTTTCTAATGTTGGTAAAAAAAAATATCAAACAATATCAAACAAAAAGGTTATGAAGAAAAACCATAGGAGGATAAAAAAATTAAAAGTATTCACCACATTAGAACATTGACAATCACAATTCAAAAGGGTTTTTTACTTTTTTATATGTTTAACGAAGTTAGACACGTATTTAATCTTCAAATAAAACATTTAGGTAATACGTATAGGTATATTACATATAGGTAATTTGTATTACTTGCACAGTCAATCTTAATCCTAAATATTATGTAATGATTACATGGGGCCAAGCATAACTAATATTATAAAAGTTATTTATTTATTTATTTACATCAATCAATTAAAAATAACAGTAAATAACTTAATTAAATATTTGTCAAACAAATTCAAGTACAGCAGTAGGTACCTACCTTGCGATTATGTTCTTAGTGAATTAACTATAAAACGATATTACATTTTTCTACTGAATCATACTATAAATGTAGCTCTGTGTTACAGAAATTATGTGACCCCTCCCCACCCTCATTATAATTTCATAATTATGCCACTGACCTATACCTACCACCTTATACAAGATACTCAAATAGTCAAACATGTGATGCATCTTCTATTTTAAATATTAATTGTTACATAATATTATAATTTTTAGTTTGTGTATTTCTGCATTAGAACACTATGCGTATTGCATAACAACTATAGTCTATAACAATTAACAATACCATTTGATAACGAGTGCATGATCTATATTATAATATTATGAAACCAACAATTAACGAATAATAAAATATACTGTATGATAACAATAATATACAACACAATAGTAACTTTTCAGTGTAAATAATTGGAACAATATCAACGATTGCAATTATTATGATGACGTTTTCTAACCTGCAGTAGAAACATGTTGCATCCTGCATTCCTGCTCAATAATTTATTATATACCTCGGAGTCAGTCAAGTAAAGAACTTGAGTAAAAGTATTTCAATACTATGACTATATACAATAGTATTTCATTTTGATTTTAATCGTGTAAAATAAAATAAAATATATTGAGAATTTATATAATAGGTAGAAGGTAGGTATATTTTTTATTGTAAACTATAATACCCAACCTCAAGCGGGGGCCCGTATTTTACAGAAAAATTTTTTTGTTTTGTTAATTTAACATTTTTACCGAATAAACATAAAATTATTTTTTTGTTTTTATATGCTGATGTAGAAGAATACACGGTTATATTTTTTAAACATTCATAGAAATGATATCTTGACATTATTATACTAATAGTTTTTTTAAGCTTTCATGAAATGTTAATTAAACCATTAATATTGATACTGAACTATTAATGTATTTAAATGATACATTTAATGTTTAAAATTACAAAATGTTTATTGGGTAACACACATACACAATAAGCAAAAATAAGTAACGACCCACTTTTTCAAAACATTCAGATAACTTTAGATGTACACAAATAATATGATCTCAAATTTCCGATACGTTTCTCATTATTAATTCTAAATCATATCTTGATTCTTGTTGTATAATTAATTTTCTTAATTTAATGAATACCCTGAATTGATTACAATTCGCTAAGAATTCCATTTCTAATTTTTCCCTTGACCAATTTATCATTTGTTCAAATTTCCCAAAAATAATATAACTGTATCATTTAAAAATATTAATGAACATTTATTGTACTTACCAATTATATCAACATTTAAAAATGTATTTTATACAATCAAAAAATGTAATCTATTAAATAATAAATATAGACTCATAAGTCATTTTATAAATATTTATTGAAAACAAGACACATAGGTAAAATGAAAAAATGTTAGATTAAAGGCTGGTTATTGATTATTAAATTTAAAATAATGTTAATATTGTTTTTCAATAATAATAGTAATAATACATTATAAATTAATACATCAATGATTTATACGAGGTTATTTTTGAAATATATAGACATTTTTTGACCAGTGATTTATGTTGATTTTTGGAATTAATTGGGAACTACAGAGTTGCAAATCAGCCATTTCAGGTGTCAAAAATACTTTTTTCTGCATCATTGTGACATTATTACTGTTATCACAAAAGATTCTGGCAAGCGTTACTTTTCTGATTTCTGTCAGTTGATCTGAAATATTAAAAAAATTTAGTTAAAATCAGGATCATTTATAAGAAAAACATTTCAGATATACTAACATTCATTGAATATAATTATTAAATCGTAAAAATATCTATCTGCCATTCTAGTTCTTATAAACTGTTCTCTAATGATACATCTCATCGTTGGGCCAACCATTGAGTCGTAGTACTCTGCGTAGATAGCCCTCTGACAAGCTGATAAATGTAATTTAATAGTAAACCAGTTGGTCCGTTGTAATGTTATTTTAGCGAAAGACTTGCGTTGATCACTCGGCCTTCCGTATATAAACTAAACAAAAACAGAGGTACATATAAATTAATAATTATAAGTAGGCTAAAGTACCATCACACAACTAAATGTGATGATTCACTTTACAAACAAAAGCACAGCAATCGACATCTTAAAATATTGTTGGGGCGGGTACATATTATATAGTTGTCATATATTGTTGAGTCTGCAATGTAGACAGTCGTCAATATAATATATTTTAGAAACTTTTAAATTTAGATAGGTCATGCAATTTGTGGTGAGGTGACAGTAGAATTTTTCTAAACTATAACACAACCAAGTAGACCATATTTTAAAGAATCTTGAGTCATTCTAATTTAGAAGGAACCAACGTATAAAAGACAAGCACATACTATCGTACTTTACCAGTGCTAATTAAATTTGTTTTGAAAGAGTCAGTCTAAGTGCACGAGGTTAAGGCGTCGTAGGTCTAAGCGTGTGGGCCAACATATTATGTTCATACATAAAACCTAGGAGGTAACAAATTCATTGGTTAGTGCCTATTTGTTGATAAATCATATTATGTAAGTACCTTAAAGGGAAAAAAGGTTGGATATTATATATGTTAGCTCCCACACGGTGTAAGAATAACTTATGTAGGTATTAGTTCCTACACTGATACCAAAGTAACCTAGCTATACACAATAATAATAATGATAATATTATTATACCAGGTGTGCAAGAACCGGATGGTGTCCCTTATCATGGAATTAGTTGAATTCATTCAATAATTCAAGCCCGTTCCGCCTGGTGTAGTTTTCCCCGAGCGGCGCTAGCAGCCACTCAACGTAAGTGATGTGCTGTATGGACGCCATAACGATTTTCCTGGCCTCCTGAAAAATACATTCGTCGTCACATTGCGGGTTGATGTGTGACAGTAGTTTGGCTAATCGGTTGTGTTCCCTCATCCACAATGTGTGAATGACCGTCAGTTGGGGAAGAGCGTTTGCCCGGATGTGACACTGCCATACTGACAGGCGTTTCATTTAGTGTCTTCAAGCGGCATATACTGCGGCTGCAGCAGGTCGCCTTGGCTCTTGTTATCGCAGCCCATGCTTGTCAATAGTTGGCCAAGTTGGTGGTTCTCAACGACCAAGTTTGTTTTGCCGACAAACCGCATATCATCGACCCATTTAAATAATGAGTAGCTTGGTTCATCTGCAAAAAATAACCATGTTTTAAGTTAAATTTGTAATTTTCTATGATTTTAAGAGAATTCGAAAAGTTATGCATGTGCACAACTCCAAACAGACACTGTTATTTTTTTGTAGATAGATTCCTTTTTAAAATTTTAATTAAAATTTCAATGGCAATATATACCAACCTATTAATTATTTACGTAATTTTAATTATTACAACCAACATAAATATATGTTTATGGTTATGGAATTATCTTATATTGCTCTTACTTGTTCCTTGGGTCCAAAAGTACAATCGGAACGCAAAACTCAATTACCTATAAGCTTATTTAACAAATTATCCAACAATATAAAGTGATTATAAAAATTGTTTTACAATAATGAAAATAGTATTTTAACCACTAATTAAGAGTTGCATAAAAACTTGACCAATTTAATGGTTCACTAAAAGACCATTTCACAAGCCACTAATTATGTTAAAGAGAACATTCAACATTAGCTCACTATTGATTCATTCAATATTTAGTAATTATAACCCGGCATAAATATTATTATATTATTTTTACAGTATCAACAAATTTTTAACTTACCTAACAGATATTTTATTTTTTGATGTATTATACTCATCAAACATCTATAATATGTCTTTCATTGAATGATATTCTTCTCTTAAATAAGCATTGAATTGATACTTTTTTTCGAAATGTTGTTGCTGTTCCTTTCCCACCAAGTATTATCAGTTTTTAATTCTCCGAATAACATCATATTTTGTCCTGTTGTATCAACAATATAAGAACCTATACTTAAAAAAATAAATACAAATTTAATTAAAACCCCTATCCTGTTTTAAAACCAACAAATATCTTACTATCACAAGTTGATGCTTCAGTAATATCTATGTTAATTGGAAGTTTAGATTCATAGTCTGTGTCTGGTACAAATCTGTATATATAATATTCTTGTAAGACATACTGTATTTCAGAAATCAAAACTTGTCACTGAAAATCATAATATTACAAGTTTTTAAACAATTTAATAATTAGGTATAGTTAATACCAGAACTTAAATGTACATAATATTAACGTAACAATTCGATAAAATATGTTTTTATGATGATCTTACGTACAACATTACTATAAGTAGATGGTTCATAAATTTCTTCTTGAACCTTAAGAAATGAATCCAATTCTTTTACAATATTAAGTGCTAATTTCTTTCCACTGTATCTCAACATTTTAATTATCTGCAACAAAATAATATTTATATAAAATTCATTATTTCTTATAACATATAATACATTTACCTAAAAAGTTATTTTAAATAGTTTAATATTAAAATATTAACAGTGAGAGAAAATAATCATTTAATGGAAACAAATAGCAACAACCAATTATTTTGTTATAATATGTAAGCATACAAATATTTAGGTAAAAGGTCACTTTATACAGTCGGTTGTTTAAAATTCATAACCCAGACAATTTGTACAGTTAGGTAAAAAGGTAGATTGCAGAACGAGGACACTTTGTATGATCAGGTAAAACTTTCAATTGTAGAACACAGACACTTTGTACTAAAATTCATAAAGTATATATATTTTAATACAAACAAGTCTGAAGTCATGCCCAGACCATGTTATTAAGCTTAAATATTATTGGGTAAATCTAATATCTTATACATTCCAAATAGGAGAGAATCGTTTGTTATTACTTATTACCAGGGCTCGTAAGTTCATGCATCTGCATGTTTTTTTTGCTACGCAGGAAAACATGCTAACTGTGATACAAATCCGTTTCATAACAATAGTAATAATAATATGAAGTTTGATAGTGCATGTTTTTGCATGTTTTGGGTGTAAAGTCATATTTGGCATATAGTTGATTTTTTACAGTCATTAGTGCATATTATTTCATAAAAATATTTTTTAGACAAATATTTGAAAAGTTTCTTCCGATTTTTGATATCTTGTTCCAATCGTCCAATATCGCATGGTAAATTATAATGGTTTTTTAAATTTTTTATTGATTAATTATTTAGCTAATTAATAAAAATATCGAAAATCGGGCTTCTTACGATTGTAAAAAAAGTTCTACTCTACAATTTTTATAATAGGTATTTTTACTGTAAACTACTTCAATAAGCCGTATTACTTCAATTACGAAACCATGGTTTTATGCCATATTTTGTCTACTAGTACGCCCTCTTAAGTCTTAAGTTGGAAAACATAAAAAATACACTTATAAAATATATATTACTAAATTATCCCAAAATGAAAAACCTAATATTTAATTCCAAATGTTTTCATTGTTGGTGCTGAATAAGGGTGTACACAAATTAAACAAAAATGACTACCTACCTAATTAAAATTTATAAAGATGTCAAAGCTATTTGAACTTCACAAGTATTAATTTAATTTTTTATTTTATTAATTTTGACTGTCAAATATATAAAAATAAAAAGGAATAAAATACTTTTAAAATGTATGGATTTATTCTTATTATTTTAAAATTTGGTCATGTTTTTTTTACATAATGCATATTTTGAGTTCATAATTTAAAAATGTGAAGGCATATAAATGTATATTTTCGAACTTTTAAGTGCATATTTTATTGCATATTTTTACAATTTTTAGTGCATGAATGCATGCTTATTTATGCATTTTTTAGTACATGAAGTTACGAGCCCTGCTTATTACCTATGAAAAGTAATTTTTATTTGTCATTTCGACATTTTGTACACTTTTTTAATTTACTTTTTAACATTACATATTTTGATAATAATATAATACAATTATAATTTATAATCATATTTGATTATTTTGATAATTTCAAGATTTTTAGGTCATCAAGTTTCTAAATTAATTAAAATATATTATAGCACAGATAAATATTTGGCTGTTATCTAACCAGTTAATTAATATACTTTATTTTAAAACACTTAATTGCCTTAATGTTTAAATTTTTAAATTTTAATAATTGAAATTATATATACTTACTACTTAGATATATAACTTATATTTACACTATATATGCTTTATGCATATAATAGTACAAAGTATCCGGGTTTTGCAATGTACGTTTTTACCCGACCAAACAAAGTGTGTCTAGTTGTGCACTTTTAATTCTCGACCGTACAAAGTGACCTAAAACCACGGTTATCTAAATAACGGTTTTAAATATTTAAAATAAAAAAACTATTTAAAACTATTCCTTTATTAATATGTGTAAACTTACTTACGATTTTTTTTAAATATTATAAACTTGACTTGATTCCTATGAGCTAGATGCCTAGATGTGTTATATTGGAATATACTTTTAGCAACATTTTTGGTTGCAACGCAATGCTGCGTTCATACACTCGTTAAAATTACCAGTTAACAATAAGTTGAATACTTTATTATTATGTTAGACAAACCTTCTAAACAACTCGAATAATAGAGAAACTTTTATTATTGTTATCATTGCCAACGTGTTTTCGTTTATCAAAAAAAAAAAATCTTATCATCAACCGCGCTCCGCTTCTACCGCTCGCCGACCATTCGGTCGAATTTCCTTGACCAACTACGGTTATCTCGCTTTTCCGTTATCAGCTTTAAAATTGTTCAAACATTTTTGATAATTTTAATTTTTAACGCGTTTCGAAAAATTTTACTCTTATTACGCCGTTTTTCTTCGCCTTTCCGACATTTTCCCATCCCCGTCACTCTTCTATTCGCGTAGTTTGTTTGTTATTAAAAGGCCGCGGATGTTGCGGTCTGTACGCGAAAGCTGTAGCCTTCGCAATCGACGACGGCCGTCGGTCGTTATTATTATCACTTTTTTTCGCCTTTTTCTATTCGTCTTTTCAATCGCCGTTCGTGCTCTATTCGTTTACCTAGTTGATTTCTTTCGAAATCCTTGGATATGCGGTTTGTACGCGAATTCTGTTTGTACTCAAAGTTTTGGTCGGTCTTCGTTTCGACGCACAACTTCGATTTAACAAATCATATTAGGTATATATTTGAGGCATTGTCGCATTGACATAGAAAAGGCACTAATTCATAAAAACCAAATCCTACAGGAGAATGAAAAAACAGTTTTTATGACCACGATGACTTACGATCAGTGCCATCTAATGTTCAACGTAATTACTAATATTTAAAGAAATTCGAGTTAGTTCTTTTTCCAGGCCATTTTCATATGTATGAAATACTTTTTCAACAAAAAAACGAAAAATTGATTCTTTTTGACTTAGTACCTTTTCCATGTGAACGCCTCATTTAATAATACTGATTTTTTTTGTTTTTGTTTTTGTATTTGATTCAATAAATATTGGACTATATCATTATACACAATAGGTATTGTTTTGTCCTTTATTTGTGATAATTTATTTAAGCTTTGGTCAACTATATGTCTATATGTAGTGTGTAATATACAATATAGGTACGGAAGTACAGAACTGTTCATCGACGGTGTTATAAATATCAGTATGTACATGTCTATACTGTGTACTGCTACATATTATATATTATATAGAGACATAGCGTGCTAATATAGTTAAGTTAGAGTACTATGAGTACCTACTATACTACTATGAGTATTGAGTAACCCATCATATCGGTCATTCAATGTTTAATATTAAGCACACAAATTGTACAGTAATTTAACGTACTATAATTATTATGCTACTATTATGGATATAGCATTAGTAGCGTTAGTATGTATATTTATTATTTAACTAAACTACTAAACACACATGTTGTCAGGGCCGCATTTAGGGGGGGCACTGGGTACAACTGCCCCGGGCGCCAGTATTTTAGGGGCGCCAAAATTTTGTGGACAGAAATGTCTTTACTTATGATTTTTTAAAAT